ATTTGGCCCGACCAAAAAAAAAAAAATAAATAAAAACAAAAATTAAAATAAAATAATAATAACAAAGACTTATTATAAAAATATTCGGTATAGATTTGATATGTATCCAGGCCAGAGATTATGTATTTATAAAGTCATCTGAGCACACTTCCGGTAAATGCGAGCTCATGAAAATCGTGAGCACTATTCTCAAAGAAATGGCGGGCATGCAGTCCAATTTCAGATAGTTCACTAAGTCTGCAGATTAAAAATTACACAATACTCCTAAACGAAGAAATGTTTTTGTGAGTACGTTTGTTATAAGTTGTTGATTTTTATGAAATATATAATAAGAGGAAACTTCGATGGGGTTTAACAGTAAAGTTAAACGAACAATCAGTCATGACGAAATAGTTCATAGCCATTTTTAAAAAGAACCCATACCTATAAATAGAATTTCTCTCGGACAGTTTTAGTTCAAAATATTGTGGATTTTTACATGGTCGTAGGAACGGGGTGATGTCCAGCAATAATTTTCCTGATATGTAGAATATACCATAGAAATCTAAAGCTATTATATGCTTGTGGTCCCTCAATAAATACGTTCGATAAATACGGTAGTAGATAGTGTCCCCGAAATGAAAATATTTGTCTGTTCCCCTAAACTAAAAATTGCTTCCTACGGGCCTGTTTTAAACATATATTGCTGTATCCAACCCATTTCAACTTACTTCTTTTTTGTCTCTCTTTTCTAGCTCACCTGAGATCAAGGCACAAGTGAGCTTTTCTGATTTTAATTTTCCTGTTGTCTGTCATTGTTGATGTAAAGTTTTCACATTTTCATCTTCTTCTCAAGAACCACTTGCCCAATTTCAACCTAACTTACAACAAAGTATTCCTAGGTAAAGGAAATCCAAGTTTGTTTATATGAGAGACCACACCCCCTTCCAAGGGGGATAATTGCGAATTTTAAAAAATTATGGCATCTTTTCAAAATCTTCTTCTCTGTGTTTTCAAGAACCACTGTGCTAGAAAATATTAGACTTATATGGGAGCATCCTTAGGTAGTGTGGATAGTTTGTTCAAATCATGACCCCTGGGGTAGGGTGCAGACACAGTGGGTGATCAAAGTTTCACATAGTAATGCATATATAGGGAATCTTTAGAAATCTTCTTCTCAAGAACAACAAAACCTTGACTGTTCATATTTATATGGAAACAGGTATTGTAGAATCAACTTTGATCAAATCATGACCCCCAGAGGTAAGGTGTGGCCTCAGTGTTCAATCAAAGTTTTACATAGGAATACAAAGGAAAAATCTTTTAAAATCTTCTTCTCAAGAACAGCATATCTATGATTGGTCATATTGACATGCAGGCATCATTAGGTAGTGTAGATTCAGTTTGTTCAAATAATGACTCCTGGGGGTACTGGGTAGGATAAGGTCACAATGTTTTACTTAGGAAGATATAGGAAAAATCTTCTCAAGAATAGCAAATCTGATGTAGATTCCAGTTTGTTTAAATCATGACCCCCCGGGTGTAGGATGGGCACACAATGGAGGATCAAAGTTTTACAAAGAAGTATATCATTATTTTTTTTTTAATTTTCTTCTCAGGAACAGCAATAACATGGGTGGTCATATATTTATGGAAGCATCCTCAAATTATGCAGATTCAGTTTTTTTCAAATCATGATCGACCCACAGGGGTATAGAGTAAGGCCAAACTTGTAAGAAAAAGAGCTGTAGTTAGTGGATATGATGTAAGGATCCATAGCTAGTGTACATTCAATTTTGTTCAAGTCATACTCCCCACCCCCCATTCCCCCTAATAGGGGTAGGTCGTGACTACATGTGCATTTAAGCTTTTCAATATGATCCTGATTTTTGCCTTTTTGCTAGCCACAGTGCTCAGGTGAGTGATGTGATCCTTGGGCCTCTTTTTTTTTTTTTTTTTTTTTTTTTTAATTTTTAAATCCCCTTGCAATATTGGTGGTGTTAATGTGAAGGAAAATAGAGATCCAGATTTTTTTCAGAAAAGTGAGTGACGTTTGAATATTTCAGATCATGATTTATTGTTTCTTAATATTTTCATAAATGACTCCAAAGGGGAGTGAGGAGAAGGAGGAGGGGGGGGTGCTAATTTAGTTATGTTTTAGAATTACTTGTGTAATTACCAAAAAAGATGAGAGAGACGAGAGATGTAAGAGTTGATGTCGATTTGTAGTAAGGATGTTCAAAGTTTTTCACGTCAAAAAGTGACGTTGATCATGTTTGATAGAACTCCGACAAGCATTTATGCTATTATAATGTAGATTCAAATTTGTTCAAATCATGACCCCTGGGGGTAGGGTGGGGCCACAATGGCTAATCAAAATTTTACATAAGAATATATAGGAAAAATCTTTTAACATTCTTCTTCTTCAGAACCACTGGGCCAGGAAAGATGAAACTCATGTGGAAGTATCCTCAGGTAGAGTAGATTCAAGTTTGTTCAAATCATGACACCTGGGTGTAGGGTGGGGCCACAATGGCTGATCAAAGTTTTACATAGGAATATATAGAATTTTAAAAAATCTTCACCAGAACCATTGGACCAGGAAAGATGAAACTCGTGGGAGCATTCTCAGGTAGTGTAGATTCAAGTTTGTTCAAATCATGACCCCCGGGGGTAGGGTGCAGCCACAATGGCTGATCAAAAGTTTTACATAGGAATATTTAGGAATTAAAAAATAAATCTTCTCCAGAATCATTGGACCAGGAAAGATGAAACTCATGTGGGAGCATTCACAGGTAGTGTAGATTCAAGTTTGTTCAAATCATGACCCCTTGGGGTTGGGTGGGGCCACAATGGCTGATCAAAAGTTTTACATAGGAATATATAGGAAAAATCTTTTCAAAAAATTTTCTCCCAAACCATTGGGCCAGTAAAGATGAAACTAATGTGGAAGTATCCTCAGATAGTGTAGATTAAAGTTTATTCAAATCATAGACTTAATTCAAGCCTTTACATAGAATTACACTTTATATAGGAAAAATCTTTAAAACTCTTCTTCTCAACTATGGTGAAATTATACAGGTATTATTTTATTATTATATATGTACTATGCTTTATTGATATATAGACATTCTCAAGTAATAAATCATTCATCCCCTCCCCCAACAAGTAAGCTTTTCAATACTGAGCTGATTTGTGTTTTTTAACTAGCCCATGTGCTCAGTTGAGCAATGTGGCCCATGGGCCTCTTATGTTTTTTTTTTTCAGTTACGAAAACTTTTTAATTGGGTCATTTATTTCTGAACCTTACTCTTGGCCTTACTATTCCCTATTTTATTAAACTGTCTCACAATTTTCTGACTTTGAAATTCCCTATAAAGTTGATCTGAGTATTCACCATTTTTAATTTAACTTTTCTTCAAAGCTGTTTCATTAAAAAAAAAAAGACACATCTTTACAAGACCTATTCAACTGTATGTATATGTCTAGAAAGACCCTATGTTCTGTCTTGATACAAGGTTATTTTGACTAGGCCTGTTCTTTTTGGTATTTTGGAATAAACAAGAAACTTAAACACAGATTACAAGTAACCCAGGACAAAGTGATACAGTTCATAGACCTTGGTCCAAGAGTATTTCTAGTAATATTTTAAACTCTCTAAATATGCTAAGAGTGGAGGATAAACTAAAACAAATAAGATTAAACCATGTTTTTACCGTTTTAGCTCTACTGGTCAGAGACCAGAAGAGCTTATGTGAAAGTCATGCATCTGGTGCCTGTCCGTCTGTCTGTCTGTCTGTCTGTAAACAATTTTCTAAATGCTACTTATTCTACAGTTTTGGTCTGATTTCAATATAACTTGGCACACAGGTAGACTACAAAAAGAAACATAATTCTGTGTATGATTTAATTTGATTTTGATGATCGATGTTGCCGTGGTTACTTAAATTAGAAATACTTTAATCAGACTAAAACTGAATTTGGAGTAGCATTTAAAAATTCATTGAAATCAACACTAAGATACCTAATTCTGTATGTATCCAGTGCCCAGCAACAGTATGCCTAGAAGCCAAATTGCTATGTAACAGAGTAACAGACTGCTTTCGCGGCTATGATAAGGCTGTCCGAAAAATTTCAAACGGTTCTAACTAATATGGCGTCAAGTCACTGTATACTTGAAGGGGAAAGTGTCATAATTTTTACATTCCTTTTACATGACGTGTAGAGTTTTTTTTTTTTGGCGTTATTGTGAAATACAAGTTTTGGGATTTTGTTATGATGTTTAACATTTGAAATCTAAATATATTTGTTCCTTTTGCTTGTCCAGTATGCACATAATTAAACAATAGTAAAAAACTGAATGTGAAACACTCCCCTTACACGCCCGTAGACTGAGTTGAATTTATGAATCGTGTTTATGTTTGACTGGCACAAGTGATAAACAAGGATAAATGGAAGATATTCTGTGTAAATCAACAACAGAAGTATGTCCTCTTATTGAATTTTGCTGGAGGATTGTATGTAGTTAATCCATTTTTTGTATAAATGGTGACTAAAAGTGAAAAAAACCTTCTTGTTGGTCAGTTGAATTTCTCGTCAAATATTTTCTTACAGAGTAAAAATCAGACTTGCCCCCAGCTTTTTTTATGTACTAGAGATCACGATAAATTTATCTATGTAACAAACTTTTCACAATAATTTTGTTTTGCACTTGTACCGATGCGACTTTTGAGCGATGTTTAGGAATATCATAAATGTCCATCGAGTGATCAACAGAGTCATGTACGTGACATCACAAAAATGCTTTATTATAATACCTGATTAAACTCTTACCACAAGTTGACTGCAAACTAAAACGAGGATTACATATTGAAATTAAAATCTATCTCAAATTAAAATGTATATTTTCAATGCATTTTAAGCAATCAAATAGCCTTATCATTACTGCATTTGGAGAGAGGGGAGAGAGGAAGAGAGGGTAAGATTCATGTCCTAGACCTGAATTAAGTGTTTGGTTATTTTTTTCCTCATCTCACTTGATGAAGACTGTGACCTCTCTTGATAGTGTCTTGTCTTTCTACTTTAGGTATGCAGTGTGAGGCAGCCCTCCATTCCCAGCCCTTTGAAGAGGAGACTGCCAAACCCAAGGAAGGTAAGATACTTTGTGCAACACCTCACACACTGTGGACTTTCTTCATTTTCACGCGTTAGTCTTAGCACACTTGTTTGACTTCTGCACATTTGATGTTAACAGGTGCGGGTTAGGCTAGTGTTGATTCCCAGATGAAGTGTGGACCGCAGCCTGTCGGAAGAAGTGCAAAGAGTTCAGGGACATACAGCGGCCCACCCCAGCATTAAAGGTAAGAAGGACTGGAAGCGGTGTACACCTGGCAATCTGTGGACTTTTGTTACTCCTTCCTTGTGGCGGGAGTGCGTGTTGCATTGACTCTGAACTGTCGACATCTTTGTTATTAGGTACGGGCTTGGACAGGTTGCGTGGAAGAAGAGCAGGCCGACACCAGTAGGCAGCTGTTCTGCGATGCATTGCGGTCAATCCCAGAGTTGCAGGTAAGACGCAGTGTGCACATGTTGCACTCTGTCCACTTTCAGTCCTGTGTGTTTGTGTTAAAAGGTACCTTAACTCTTCTCTTTGCACAGTAAAGAGCACAGTCTGCAATTTTAGTTTTAATAACTCTAGGAAGTTGTTTTGATGTCTTGATTTTGCTTTGTTAGCAGAAGAGGCGGTGTATGCTGAAGCAGACGAATCCCAACAGCAATCAAGGAGGGAAGAGGAGGTGAGATTCACACTGTACATCTGGAAGCCTTTCATGATCTTTTCCTTGCCAACCGATGTTGGCCATATCAGCATTTGACCTCTCGACTTTCAATTGACAGGATGCGCATCAAGAAGAAGATTCCACCAGAGCCCAGCCCACCAGAGCCCAGCCCAACCCAGATGTGGATCCAATTCTGCGACCAGGAAGCCTAATAGAGAAGCATTTTGAATTTATTTCCTTCTCTCTGTCTCCTCTCTGTCTCCTCAGCACTTCCCCTTAATCTAACAAAACTAACCATCCCCTACCCCTTAATCTTCATTGAATTTCTGAGCTTTGTTTCATTGTTTTGAATGTTTACTAATCTCTTCTCAGTTTCTATT